AAACTTTCGAAACCCATCGAAAACCATCGAAACTATCGATCGAAGCTGTCGAAATAATTTCTGAAAAGTTTCGACTTTTACCAAAAGGGTTGAGGGTTTTTCCTCACAACTATAAAAACAAATAGATCATTAATTAATAAAATTCTATCTTCATAAATATTTTTTATTAGATTAACGATAACTTAATCGGATTAGATTTGCTTTATCAATTTATCAGAAGTGATAGATCCTAGCTTTACCTCTTCTGTTATTTTTTCTTCAAGTTATGCTCTTTTTTGCCCAATTTCTTTTTCTTTCAGGTAGGAATAATTTGGGGATCCAAATTTTCTTTTCCTTCACGAACATTTAGCTGTGATTTTTCGTTTTCCACCATGAGAACTTTCTGTTTTTCGTCTTTTGATTGATTAAACTTGAACACTGATTATTGAACCACTCTTAACATAGGCTGTTGGGTCTAAATCACGATTAAGATCGTAAAGAAAAGAACATAGCCTTGGAATAGATTTTGATTTAGCGGAAACATAACGTTTTGCAAATTTATCCAGTGCAATTCGTATTTGTGATCCATCCCTTTGATAATCTTCATTAATACTTTCTAGAAAAGCACTAAATTCAGTATTATTTATTTCGTTATTCCCTTCATTTTCTTCGTTCAGTTCCCTATAAAATCAATAAATAAACCAGTAATTTAGTAAATAAAATAGAAACTTTAAATTTGTCAAATAGTTCTATTTATCTGAAACAATACAAACCTTCACTCATTAGTTCCATTATTGTTAAAGAAATAATCCGATGCTATAGTTTCTTGATATTGCGTAGAGGGCCCAGCTCACAACGATACATAAATAGAATTATTCTCAGCTAAATAACCTAAAATAAAAAAAGAAGTTAATATTATCCTTAAAATGAGAATATGTAGAATTTTCCTGCTTACCAAGTGATATATCATTCAATCGTTAGGTGTTAATGATGGTATAAAATTAAGCGTAGCAATATGAAAATTTATAGCAACCACTCCCTGATGCTTGCAAGGACCGCCTGATATACCAACTGGGTAGATGCAAGCTCCAATTTCAGTGTTTACAATGTAGAAAAGACTGGGATTGCTTTTACTTGGTACTAGGAATTTACAATTTACATTTGTTTTTTTGAATAAGAATCACATCTACCTTCTCCCATCCAGGACATAAAAACTGTCTTGCTATTATTAAGTGCCCTGAATGTATATGTGCAATTCTGAGTAATCATCGTGCTTAAAACCTCTCCATACTCATAGTTATAAAATGAAATATTTGAACAGAATTGAAGGCTTGCGTTCTGGTGAAAATTATAACATTTAAAATACTGAAACTTCATTCAATATAATTATTCATATTATTTCTGCACATAAGTAATCCCACTCAAAATAAAGAGCCTAAAATTAACAACGATTCCATAAAAGCTCAAAATGTTTTCATAGAAGATTATATCCATAAAATTTATGCTTGAATCATTATAATGCATATCCATCTCCAGACCTGACTTTGAATAAAGGATTCTTTTCATTTTCTCTATAATGCATACCTGATCTTCCTTTAATCTGATGTTTAGAAACATGCAGCTATCTCCAGAATGACTGAAGGACATGAAATATGCCTAGAAGACGGATTCCTTGTGGCCAGCATAGCTCTAAGGCGTTACGTTTTATGCTAAAATTGTTTGTAATAAAAATTGCCGATCCAATTTGTGGTCCACATCCATAAAAAGAGCTTAGTAGAAGTATTGTCTTTAATAAATTCAATCAAAGATTAATAGGCGTAATATTGATATATTATTTTAATAATAAAATGAAATTAATAAAATGTAAATAAATGCTAATGAATTAATTAATAATTACCACTTTTTCAAGTATTATTTCAAGTTCATCTGAGGTAAAAAACTCCAAGTCAAAGTGCATTAACAGCACAACTCATATATAAGAGGGCTATCAAAATATTGAGCAGATTGAAAGCAGCTGATGCATCTATGTAACAAATTTTACCTGCCTGATGAATTTTTTCATGCACTCAGGCCATCAAGTTTGTTATAATGCATAAATAAATGCATTTTCAGAACTCACATTATATTCCTACAAAATTGCTTTATCTTGAGCTAAACCATTATATTCTTCAACTAATTGTTTCAAACACTCAAATATCAGTTTATTATTATGACTGCTAAGTGCAAATTTACAATATTATTAAAAGATATTTACAACATAATTATAACCCAGATTTTTGATATGATCAGCAAGGATCTCTAATAATTCTTGTTTATTTGAAGCATTGAGATGAAGGCTATCTTTATATATATATATATATAAAGCTAAAGTTAAAGAGTGTTCATTTCTGAATAGGCTAATGAATTCCTTATAAACTCTTTTCTCAACATGTCAAAAACTTAAGAATTCAGCTGAATTAATAATGTAATTATATGTAAATTTTAATTCAACTTCTAAAGGGTGGCTATATAAAAGTTATTTTCATTCTAATTGAAGGTTAATAATTGCATTGCAGTTTATATTATATGCTTGAGTAGATTGCAGATGTTTATTTTACAATTGCTTATTTTTTCTTTACATCATTACTGTGGATGCAATAACATATTTCTATATAAAGTATCTAATTTCCTTTGATATTAAAATCCTTTATTTACGCTATTGTTATTTTGGACTATGATTGAAAGATGAGAAACCATCTATGACACTTTTTCTTTGCTACTAGCATCTACATGCACTTTTAGTTCAAATTGTATTATATTAAAATTTTTAAATGTATAATATGATGGTAATTCATTAAACTTTTCAATTAAATATATACTGTGCTGAGAAAGAAATAGTTTTAATCCTTCTGATAAGAAATCTAATATCTAGTATTTAAATAAATAAATGCCTTAAAATCAATTTTATTATGATAAGATAATATATAATATTAAAAGTTATTTAAATTAATAATGCATTGTAATAATATTAACAATAAATTCTTAACAATAAATATATATTTTTAATAAAAAAATGTATTTACAATAATAATTAACAAAAAAATTAATTTATGTATTTACAATAATAAATTAAATGGTAATCTCTATCTAATAACATATAAAAATGATAATAAAATTAAAATAAGAATAATACTCTATATATTATAATTACAATAATCAGATTTGACTTTTAAATAAAGTTATATCCAAAAACTCAGATAATTTTTTTTATATTCTGTTTTATATAACTATATATAAAATCTTTGAAAATAATAAAATTAGTGCAATATTTACTTACTTATATAATACTTGCAGTGTTTACAGTGTTAAAACTATTATTACTTTATACTTGTATCATGAAGTTGTATAACTTTTTAAACTTGATGGTTTAAAATTTTTTTTAATATATTTGTTTGTTAATATAAATTATATTAAAGAAATATTTAAAAAAACTACCATCAAATTAAGAAAAGTAATCATTCTTGCTTAAAAAAAAAATGTGAAAATATGAGAAAATAATTCTGAAAAAAATTATTTTTGTAAGAAGAGGTATTATATTTATCAAAACTGATACAATCATACTAATTACTATTGGATAAATCACAAAATCACATTTAATTTGATTTACTGATTAATATAGATAAACAGATAATTTGATAGCTATGTTATAATTTAGTATAACCTGTCATACATTTCAGATGTACCTTTTGATTAGCAATTTTTGAATCTATCAATTACAACAAAAGCAATATGTTGATTTCTTTTATAGTTAAAAATTTATCATAAAAGTATAAAATTTTACTCTCTTTTTTAAAAATATAGTAATAATATCATTGAAATATAGGAGATATACTTATCTAATAAAAAAATAATAAAATAATAAACATAATTAGTTAATAATCTTACAATTTATTAAAAAACTTCCTTTAAACTGTTCTCTATTTCTGTTTCAGTTCAAAAAATTAATTATTCAATAATGAATCAATCATTTATTAATCAATTTAAGTAATGCAAAAGGTTCTTTAAAGTATTATTTATAGAAGAAAGGTATTTATCAGCAATATCATTATAATGTAAATAAGGTTATATTTTTTGAATATTTATGCTATATGTAAACAATTTGATATCATAAAACTGTGATAAATTCAGATTTTCCTTCCTTCAAAAATGCTTCAATTTTATTCTTAAAAACTTTAATATTTTTCTTTTTATCATTTATTTTTTTTAAATCTGTTATTCATAAGATGTTAATAATAACAAACTAATAATAAATTAAGATCTTTAAAAATTTACGAGTTTTTTTATTGCATTGCACATATAATATCCTCTTGATACTGTATTTTCAAACTATAGCTAAATCATTTTTTTGTAGTAAATTAGCAATAACCATACTTTTATTTTCTTGCATATTCATTATTCTTTTCTTGTAAATATTCAAAAAAAGATTAATATATAAATAATTACTTAAAAAGAATGACAATAAACATTTTTTTTTTATATTTGACTTTTAAACTTGTAACAATATCTGACATTAATGATAAGGGCAAAATTTTTACAAAAGATTAAAATTTATTTACACAAATAAATCTGAAATTAGTAAACATGTTCATTTAGTATATCTAAAATATATTTGAACTTTAGAAAATATAAAAACAGAATTGTATTCATTAAAGCCTATTTCTAATACTGAAAAAGCTTTCTGATTAGAAGATGTAAAATATAATTTAATTATTTCATGATATTTTTAATAAAAAAAAATAAACATTATTTATAATAAATACTAATCGTACTATCATAATTAATTTCAAAATTTTTCTTAAAAAAATTAATACATTTACATAATATTAAAGTCATTTACAGATATTCTCAATTTTCTTATGTTAAATGAAATAAGTAGTAATATATACTCATATATTTATTAAGCCAAATTATAATTCTTTAATAATTAATATTTTTTTTTTTTAAAAAAAAAAAAAAATAAATAGAATGTAAGCTATTTAATTTTATTAAAAAATATTTGAAAATAACTAATATTATAATACTATATAGGAAGTAAGTTATTTATATTCATATTGTAATTTAAATCTAATTAATTTATTTTTATAAAAAAAACTAATAATTAATTATATTTTAATTAGCAAGTTATTTTATTAATTTTATTAATAATTTATTCAAAAAAAAGTTTTAACTAAACCTTTAAATCTTAATTTTAATTTAAATAAATATTTTTAATAAATCTATAAGTCTAATTAGAATTATTTAAAAAAAATCAATATTTTAAAAAAGTATTAACATATTAAATATTATTGTTTCCAGTTTTTTACCAGTAAATTTGAATATTATTAATTAGATTCATGATCATGGTTAGCTAAAGGTTGACCTTAATATTTGAAAGTAATCTATGTATTTTATATAATATTTTATTTTATTTTATTTTTATTTTAGTTCAATTAGTTCCTTCTCTTAGGCTTAGAACTAAATAGAACTTTTGAATAGAATCATTATGTTTGAAGATAGCTGACTTAAATCAATATTTTTTTACTAGATATTAATATTTTTTTTTAGATTTTTTTTTAATTTTTTTATTTTTTAATAATTTATTTTATTTCTTTTTATTTTTATATAATTAATTCTTTTTTTTAAGCTAAAAATTGAACAGAATTTTTAAATAAAACTGTTTAGTTTATTATCATGATAAAGGTAAACTAATTAATTTTTTATTTATTATTTTATTTCTTTTCTTATTTTAATAATTAGTTTTGATTACTAAATTTATTTATTTTATCTATTTATTTGATTAATAACAAATACAGGTAACTAAAATTATTTTTTAATATATTGTTCTTTTATTTTATTATTATTCTTATTATTATTTATTTATTTTATTTTTTAAGTTAAATCAGTTTTTCTTTAGCTAAAATTATCAATTTTTATTGTTGCAATATAGGTTTTTGACAAATTCTTTGATTTTATTAATATTTATTATTACTTTAAATATTAATAATAATCATTATTTTTTATTTTTTTTTTATATAATTATATTATAAAAATTACAAAAAAAACTTTCTTTATTTATTTATGTAATTCTTTTGTTCCAATTTTTTTTTTATAAATCATATATAATTTACTGTTATTTTTATTAATATTAATATTAATATTAATATTAAAATTGATATTGATATAATATCAATATAAAAATGGTTACTATAGTTTATGTATAAAGTTATTCAAATTTATATTTATTCCTTCTTTATTGAAAATAACTATAGCTAATATTATATAAAGTGAAATCACTTAATACCAACATCTATATAACATGAAATGTATATATTGTTAATTTTATATTACATTCTCTAATATCCCTTAAATTAGTAAGGATTTTCATTTATATACAAATTTAGCTTTTATAATAAATAGAAATAGTAATCATTGTTAAGTCTAGAACGATCTGAACTAAAAATATTCACAAAGTTATTGAAATACTTTTATATTACATTTTTGATTAATTTGTAATACAGAATTTATTCAATAAATTTCTTTATTTAGATTGAACTTTTATATATTTCTTTTAAGTATTAAATAAACACAAATGATTTATATAAAAATGCTAATTTTATAGATCTTAATGC